CACACAGCGGCTACCACCAGATTAGCCGACTGAGCTAAGCTGCTCTCTGTTATATTCTCTGTTATATTCTTTACAACTGTGGAAACCTAATATCAAATCATTTACATTCCTTTTTTTCAACCCATGTCAGTCGCAGTGCAAAGATGGTCAGTACAATGGGAGGCAGTTATCTAATTATTTCAAATACTGTAGTGAACACTTAGTTCGTTTTTTGCACATGTGCTATTATTCACAGAAAACCAACAACTTAACATCACACCTGAACTGTGGCGTAATCCCAAAAAAATACTTGCACCTTCAGGCGCACCACACCACCCAAAAATCACGCTCAAATAGTTAAAAATCACCTCAAATAACCCAATCATCGATACCACTACTTCACCTTTGCACCCCTCCCCCAATTAGCCCACCTTCCAAGACACTTAGATACACCACTGCTTCTGAAGTAAGTGGTAATGAAGAAACAACTGTATTACCCAAGTTGAGAACAGTGTGATTGTTGCCAGTTTGAATACCCTAGCAAAACCACATATAGATAGATACTGCACCTTGTATGTGTTCCAGCCACCTCCGCCGAAACAGCCTCTACCGAATATGTCAACTCCAACGTAAACGTCGTACTTGCGGTCACCAGCCATCTGCAATGAATCCTTCAACTTCTGCTCGTTCCAATTATAATTCAAGAAAATGCCATCACAACGATCAAAAAACAATCTGCGAAAAAAAAAAAAAAAAATTAATAATGAATTAAACTTTTGAATTAAAATTTATTGAGCTATGGGTGGCCATTAGGGCCAAAATATAAAACTCAACAATTAAAGGAAAAACTCAACACACAAAAGACAAACTTAACAGACAATGAGCATGCTCAGTACCTGTTATTGTCGTTCAGCATATCTTGCCACTTGAGCTTGCCTGTTTGGATGACACTGTCATACCAGATGACCTGTGACACAGGGTCAAGTTTGTGCATCTCAGAGGTCAGATATTCCACAAATTCTACCAGATAGGGCATCTGTTCTGGCTGTAAAAAAAAATAAAAAAGAACTTAGCTAGATAGCTGGACAGAAAAATAATGTACACAACAAAATTTTGAAATTCACTGATGTACTGTAAAAAGTAAACGTAAAATGAGATCAATATGTAGCAAAAATACACAAATTAATTCATAATGAAAACTAGAGCAGTCACTTCACCCTGTGTCTGAATACAGTAGCAACAGCAGTGTATGATAGGCAAAACTGCAGCATACCCTCAATGAAAAATGGAACAGCCCATTGTATTTAGGCATATCTTTTTGAGTGCTGGAGAATACCCGCAAGAAAATAATGAAATTGTCCATAGTATGAGGGCCACATTGTTTATTTGAGAGTGCTGCCCAAATACATGGGCATTCCATTATGTTCATTTATGCTCAAATTTTCGTGACCTTGACCTTGCCTTTTGACCTGTTCTTCTGAAAATTGAATGGTGTCTTTTTTCTTTGATTATTATGTACCATTCCACTAAATTTAATGATGATCCATTTATTAGTTATTGCGTAATCTAGCTAACAGACAGACAGTAAGACAGCCCGACAGTCAGCAGTGAACAAATAACCTCCTTGGCGGTGGTAAATAAACGTTTGTACTGCATTCTTGATTTTATCATAGTAACATGTTTTATCAATACACTCATTATAAGATGTCATTTACAAGTGCATTACCTCTATTTGGTTTTCAACATTGATTAGCCATCCGTCAAATCTGTAATACTTAGCTAATGCCACCATCTTGTCAGCAAAACACTTATAAGCGTCCTCACTTGCCAAGACTTGCTTGCATCGCTCTGCCCCATCCTTCCATTCAGTAATGAAAGTGCCTGTAACAACCATGATAAAGGTCAAACATTAACATCCAATTAGTGAGGGTAATAAGTCAAATGACACAGAGAGATTATTTCAATATGCGCTAAAAAAAAAAAAGCACATTATTATGCATGATTACCATTTTATTCATTTATGCCTAAAATATTCTTGGCAATATGCTGTATTAGTTCAATATGATTCTTGATTCATGAAAAAGGCATGAGTCGTCCAAATTGTAACAAATATGCTACTGTAAATGAAAGGTTATCAGAAAATGTTATGACGTAGCCCTATTTGTTATCGTAAGCTTGTGAAAACTCCCTAATATCCAAGAGGTGAGGCTTAGAAGTAAGGTCCATATATAATCAAATAGACTGAAAAACGAACCCTGAATTCATTCACTGCTGTACTATGGGTTAATATCGGTATATTAAAACATCAACTAAAATATCGAAACAAATTTTCCACTGAACATGGATGTGTTGTATACAGTAAATTACAATGGTACATACCAAGCATTAGGGTGCCGTTCTTGTGGGCTGCATTGGTCCAGGGCGCCGGAGGGATGGTCAGAAAATGGTGACTGAAGTACATGAATATGTCAATATATTGCCAATGGTAGAAGCGGTAGCAATCATTCTTAGCTACTCCTTGAACAAACCTACGACAGGAGATTTAAGTTTGCATTAATTTAAATGAAAATCAGACACTATGGAAAAAAACACTTTAACAATTACTACATACAGGGTTTTTTCTTTTTATGTTTGCATGCTAGTTTATTTAGATATAATTGACAAAATAGGATAACTATAATTAGGTTGGGGGTGTGCAAGTCATTAGTAGTATATTGAATTATACACACAACATAGCTTTACGTCGCTTAACACGGGCATGTGCAGTTTGAACCACATGGTAGTTATATCATGGTAGTTATAGAATTTGCACACAGATCTTTAATTAACGATCTCTGATGTCAAAGTAATCACGTTTGTGTGAGGGCCCCTATACTACATTATTACAGAATTTAAACGCAGAAATCGCGGAGAATGCTATCTTGTAAATTATAAGATATTTGTTGACTGTTTACTACTAGATAGAGGACAGCATTTTTTGTTACTGGTGGTAACAACTGTGTGTTCGCTGAAGCATAGCCATTTCTGTGTCCCTACAAAGTACAAACCTGTCATCTACATATCCACCCATCATATCGTGGCATACCAATGTCTTTGGTTTCGGCACACTTGATTCAGTTCGTCTGGCTAGAACCTCACTCGCAACATTGAATTCATCTTCACCGGGTTTCCATAGCAATACTTCATCCATGTTACTCAAAGGGCGAGCAATTGGCTCAGAGGTTTTCGGCTCATATCCAGGACCTGAGAAAATTTATGATTGGTTTTATTTTAAATCATAAATCGAAATTGGTTGGAAACTACGCCATACTTGCGCTATAACAATTTAACAAAATTTTTGACCAGACTTTTATGATACAGTATAAGTAATGAAAATAATACAAAGAAGATAAAAACAAGGAAACAAAACCACAGTACAAATAAATGCAAAATCGAAACTCCAATCTTGTGCAAAATGAACCCTAGCTCTTTAAAGGCAAGCAACATAACTTTGTTTTGGTACTAGAGGAACTTTCCAAGTAGTAATGTCAGACTCTCCTTTTCCTCTCTCCCAAGTCCCTGGAAGAAGCTCTGACATTTTAGCTTTACACAAGCCGCATTTGATTAAACTTTTAAACAATTTTAGGTATTAAATAACATTTTTATAAGTTTTTGTTAGAATATAACAAATGAATACAAAATTGCAATGAACAAAATAGTTATCATTTCTAAAACTTGTTTTGAGTCGCTGGCTGTTTGTTTTTGCTATTAAAATTTAAATAGGAAACATTTTTTTCATCACTTCCTGCAGGATATTCCCCAAAGTGGGCGCCAATATTTGGGACATGCCCCAAAATTTTGTATTTGGCCAAGACACTATACATTTGATTTGCTTAACCTGGGAGTACCTGGTGTACATGCAAAACAAGGAATTCTCCGATATGAGAGCAAAAAAATGCTTCGTATTTAAAGTGCCTTTTGGATGCAGTTTGGGTGATGGGGGGGGGGGCTTTATAGTAAACCAATCCTCAATAGATTACTAGTTAAGTATGTGATTCTGTGATTTTTAAACCACTGAAAATCACAAATTTTATATTCAGTACTGGAACATTATTGACTGTCATGAAAATGTGGACCTTTTCAAATTTCGGTTGGTTCCAATGCCGTTTGATTTGAAATTCACATACAGTACCATTCATTTCGCTGCTCTTCTCTCGATACCGTACTCATTTGCACTTTTGCAGTCTCTTTGAGCTTCCCTTTTGTACTTTTTTTTGTATGTAAGTTTTAAGATGTCTACAATTACATAACCAACTATAATAAAGACATTGGTTTTGTTTTCATAGCATTTATAATATAATGAAATAATAATTCATTAAAAAATAATGTTAATACTTAAAATAATAGGTATTTGCTTTTGTGCGATTTTGAAATAATGAAATTGTAGGCCCTAGTTTCTGTTAATAAGGTTATAAGAATCAATGCACACATTACCCCTGTGATTGTTCTTGATTAACTATACAATGTGACATAAATAAAAATATGAAAATATATCACGTATATTATCAGAGTAGGCCCCCTGCAACTAGCCGGTGATTCAATTGCATTCCCTTTTAATTAATATTTAGACAATGCAAAAAAGTTGCATTCATTTTATCAATTCTTTTTGTTTGCTTTGGCTGAGGCACACCATGGCTTTTCTGAAAAAGAAAAGGGGAAATTTATGATGTTTTGTTTTATGAATGAAGATGCCTTGCAGTTACACTCAGAAACAAGGTGGAGCATTTAAATATAAAATATACACAAACAATCGAAGGAGTTTGCAGAGAAAAGATAAATGATGAATGGAAGAATTTTTTTACATTTTAAAAAATTTCTTTATTCTAAATACAAAATTAATATAAAAAAAAAAAAACAAAAAAAAAACGCCATAATGTACCCAACCGGCAAACTTATTTCCATTGCGGTCCAAAAATATTAAATACAGAATAAGAAACAATCAATTCATTATGTTACAATCAAACAAAACAAAATGGTCATACATGATACAGTCATGTACAGCCTGGTATCTTTTTAAATTGAAACGTTTTCCACAGAAAAACCACAGTTAAGCACCACGCGATGGGTGACGTCACGCACTTCAATTAGTGTCATCAGCCAAGTGCAGCCAAGCGTGTTTTTGTCAACAAAGGCCTCAAGAAAATATTCATATAAAATGCTTTTTGATTGGTTGAGACGTTTTCATCAGGTCAATCAGGTCACTCAGGGGTCGAAGTAGTACACCATTTTGATTTTTTCCGAAATCGGTCAACTTTTATCGAAGTTATCAACTTTTGAAAATTTCATTAAAATTCGCTGTTTTTTCCAGAGAATTGCGAGTAATAAAGTTCAATTTTTTAATAACGAAGATTAGTTTATCTAAGAGTTTTTTTGCCAATATGAATGTAATACGAGGCGTAGCAATATTTTTTTTTTTGGCACGGCAAAACCGACGATCAGATGTTGATCGGCCATCGTGTACACGAGGTAAACCATAACGATCTTAACGAAAGTGCTGCATATAAACGGCAATATTTTTCATGTGAATAAAATAAATATGAGTTCAAAAAGTTAACTAAATGATACTTAAAGTATTAAAATATACTTTTAGCTAATGATTATCTAAAAAAATAGTTAAATATTTAAGGATTGAAGTGGATATTAAACATAAGATGATTTCGAGAGAATTGTGAGACGATGCTAGTTTTTGTTGCAAGAGGATGACGTCATGCGTAACGGTCAATGAAATTCGTCATTTGAAGTCGGGGGTGGGTGAGGAATAGTTTTAATTCTATTTTCAGAATTGTGGGTCAAAGATCATCTGAAAAAATTATAAATTTTTGGGTCGTTGTGTATTAAGGCTACATGAGCAATGTAATTTGCAGTAAAAATTTACAATCAAAATGTACACTATTTTTTAGCATTTACAAAAATTAACAGAAATATATGGCAAAAAGTGACAGAAATATTATTAACATGCAACTTGCTATTCACGTGCTCATAAACTTCAAATGTTTATAAAACCGTAACCAGTGGCTCAATTTTCCTCAAATAAAGTTTTTTATGATACTGAGAATAAGTAGTTTTTTGAGCTATTTTTTTTTTTTTTTTTAATATATATATTCAACTTTGTATTTATCATGTGTTAACTAACGCAGTCTCAATCAAACAATAAAAAAACAATAAACGTATTATGCATCATCATTGTTGTACATTCATTATCGAAATGCGTTCACATTTAGCATGATAATTTAATTGCTCCTATTGTATGCCTAGGCTAGGTTAGGCCTGGTCTGTTCTATTCTAGTAGGCGTAGCTTACGTCCTAGCTAGCCTAGCGTACGCCCTCTCTGGCTTGACTCAAAGTGAGTAGCCTGCTCAGTCAGGGGGGAAGCATGCCCACCTTCGCTCGACGCTCTTGAATGAAATCAGTAGGCCTACTTACCAAAGTCTACAGGAGGTGAAATGTTTATTTTAGCATCGATTTCAGAAGCTAGGCTGTCGATCATCTCTGCCATTTTAATTATTATATTAGTGATTAAGCTTCCTTAATAACCTTAGCGTCCCCTCCTTTCTTCCGCTTGCTTTCTTCCTTCCTGTTGTTGTTTTGATGGGTTGGGTTGGTTGGTGACAGCGTGAAGTGTCATACAGTACTAATTATCGTCAACTCACGTCAACAGAAGAAATGTCGCGTCATGTTTCATTTTATACCATAATTATAGCTCTATGTTTTATACAGATATGATACTGTATTACTGTACTAAAATTACTTTTTTGTGAATTAAAAGCTAAGTTTATTAACTTTTAATTGAAAATAAGCATAATAAAATATTTTCCACACTAATTAACTATACCTGTACTGTATAATATGATGATTGGCTGGTAATCTATTCAGTTGGGGTCCAGAAATTTGCTGACAGGTGGTCCGACTTGTTTAACAAAAGGTCCGAACCAAGGAGCCGACTAGATACCTAGGTCTTTCTTCAGTGGTGTTGCATAGTGTTTTTTTTAAATTTTGAAATTATTAATATTACAGTAATAAACATGTGACGCTGCCAGTTAATAGATAGTTGACGCGAGTTGACATGGTTTGACGCGAGAGTGGACGTGAATTGACGATAATTAATTTGGTCGTTTTCATTATTATTGCTGGGGTAGTTATTTCTGAGCGTTATATTATATTTAATGTTTTTATAGACATAACAACAATGCATAAATAAATTACAAAACGTACTTTTATACTTAAATTCAAAGTCGTTATATTGAACGTAATAATAAAATTTCTAAAATATTAGCTACAATTGCCGACATTGACCACCCTTCCTCTGCAATATTACAGGCAACACTAAATTATTGCAAACTTTTCGGTACGCATTTCGAACAAAAGTAGGCCTAGGCTATGCGTTTTGTATGAGGAAATAAAATGCCTGTTTTTATCGAAGATACTGATATAGGAGATTTATTAAAACTCAATATTTGTCAGGTGATTTCCGAAAAGTTTGCAAGGCTCAAGGTGTGTATTTGCCATTTGCAAATACTTTAATGAACAATTATGCCTAGGCCCTAACAAACATGTAAATTGTTCTTCAGGCTAGAGCCTAGGCGGCAGGCCCCTCCTTTGGGCTATGCTACTTTTATATTGACACGTAAGGTAGGCCGCCTTCAGGCTTACGTAGGATGGGAACGTATAGGCTTTTAGGTAGGACAGGGGTTGGTGGGGAATAATTAATAATTTAAATAACTTCTTGAAAGACAAAATAAATACCCAAAAAAAAAATAAATACCCAAAAAAAAAAAAAAAAAAAAGCCTAGGTTGGGTGCTTTTTATTTTTTAATTTATTAATCAGAATTCCCTTGTTAAATGGATTAGATAATTAATTAAAATAGGCCTATCTGTATTGTATACAAATATATACAAAGTTACTCCTTACTTTTGATTTAAAATTGTCGATGGTATTAAAGTGATTTTTTTTAAATTGTAGTTTTAATATTGTATGTACAGTTTAGTCTGTGTGTACCTGCATTTTTTGTCAGCTGTTGTGTAGATGTGGGCTTAAGTTTTTAAATATTTTTTTACGCACGACTCTTGTAAGTGTCGCCTTTCCAGAGGCGTCTGTTCATAAAGTAAATAAATAAAATAATGGCAGAAATTTGCATTGCATAATTCTCAACATGTACTACTGAAAAATTTCCTAATCCCAGATGGAAATTCCCAACCCCAATGAATAACTATCAATCCCAGGTGTATGAAGAAGATTGTAGAACCAGGAAATACTCCCTGATAGAACTAGCTCTGTTATAAAAATATAAATATCAATGTATTTAATAAACCTTAAGACCAAAAATTCCTAAAAACATTTTAAACTGATAATTAATTTTAGTGATGATTATTTTAATGATCTCTCACACTCATTCATTGGATAAACTTCACATTTAGAAAAAAAAAATCAACCATACAATTCTCCCTCCAACTAAAGACCACTAACTTTTGACTAAAAGACATTTTTGGTCTTTAAGTCAAGATGGGTCTTTAATTAGTGAGAGACCTGTATTTTTTCCAACAGGAAGAAGCAATCAAGTTTCGGTCACAGCCTGTACAGACGTGCCACTCAAATGGAGTACTCTATGTAAATCAGAGAGAATTTGCCTGCTCCCTCCCAGATGATGGTAAGATCATTTCATACACTCCCACGGATGGAGGTGCGGATCCAATGTTGGTCCACCCAACCTGGGCCCCTCCCACTTTTGGAAAGAGGAAAAGGGGGAAAAAACCGCCAAATATATTTTATCACCACATATTGAGAATGCGCTATGGTCAACATTGTATTACATTATTATTTGATTCTTTGCAGGCAGGACCTTGTGGTAAATTATGCACTGTAGAATAGACCATCTGATATGACTTGCTATATCTTTTTGTCTTTCATAGATGCAATCAGTGTTATAGGGACAGAAGATGCAACAACATGTCATATACTTGTTCTCAGGAATAAAGGTAAATGACAAGTTTTTTTTGGGGGGGGGGATGGTTGGAGGGGCTCTTTTAATGTAGTTTTTCTTCATAATTTTTGCTTAATGATAATGACAACATACCTACATGTAAAAAGGTAATTCTGTACTGCAGAACCCCTCCTTTGGGACACCCTATTTAGGAGACACATGTTCAGCCATGTAATATTTTCAGCCCCTGTAAAGGGGCATCCTTATTATTGGGACACTTTTTTGGTTCTGATGGTGTCCCCTTAATAGGGGTTCTAGTGTGCAATTAAATATGATATTTAAAGTACTTATCTCAACTTATATATCCTGTCTCTTATACACATCTAGATGTGTATAAGAGACAGATTATTAATATTACAGTAATAAACATGTGACGCTGCCAGTTAATAGATAGTTGACGCGAGTTGACATGGTTTGACGCGAGAGTGGACGTGAATTGACGATAATTAATTTGGTCGTTTTCATTATTATTGCTGGGGTAGTTATTTCTGAGCGTTATATTATATTTAATGTTTTTATAGACATAACAACAATGCATAAATAAATTACAAAACGTACTTTTATACTTAAATTCAAAGTCGTTATATTGAACGTAATAATAAAATTTCTAAAATATTAGCTACAATTGCCGACATTGACCACCCTTCCTCTGCAATATTACAGGCAACACTAAATTATTGCAAACTTTTCGGTACGCATTTCGAACAAAAGTAGGCCTAGGCTATGCGTTTTGTATGAGGAAATAAAATGCCTGTTTTTATCGAAGATACTGATATAGGAGATTTATTAAAACTCAATATTTGTCAGGTGATTTCCGAAAAGTTTGCAAGGCTCAAGGTGTGTATTTGCCATTTGCAAATACTTTAATGAACAATTATGCCTAGGCCTAGGCCCTAACATGTAAATTGTTCTTCAGGCTAGGAGCCTAGGCGGCAGGCCCCTCCTTTAGGCTATGCTACTTTTATATTGACACGTAAGGTAGGCCGCCTTCTGGCTTACGTAGGATGGGAACGTATAGGCTTTTAGGTAGGACAGGGGTTGGTGGGGAATAATTAATAATTTAAATAACTTCTTGAAAGACAAAATAAATACCCAAAAAAAAAATAAATACCCAAAAAAAAAAAAAAAAAAAAGCCTAGGTTGGGTGCTTTTTATTTTTTAATTTATTAATCAGAATTCCCTTGTTAAATGGATTAGATAATTAATTAAAATAGGCCTATCTGTATTGTATACAAATATATACAAAGTTACTCCTTACTTTTGATTTAAAATTGTCGATGGTATTAAAGTGATTTTTTTTAAATTGTAGTTTTAATATTGTATGTACAGTTTAGTCTGTGTGTACCTGCATTTTTTGTCAGCTGTTGTGTAGATGTGGGCTTAAGTTTTTAAATATTTTTTTACGCACGACTCTTGTAAAGATGTGCGTGATGCAATCGAAAACTTCCTTATTATTCAATTATGTATTGCAAGGGTGAATCCAAAGTTGTCTGAAAGGGGTCTATCGAGAGACAAAACTACCTTAGAGGAGTGTTTGTTTTTTAGACACCTCTGGAGCATTTTGGATGATCAATAATTCCTTTTTCTTTTTTTTGTCTTTCCAAAAGGCCCCTACTATCTTAGTTCACTCCCTTATGATATGCGAAACTGCAATACATTTTACTCTTTTAAAAATAAACTAAAAAAAAAGCGCTCAAATATAGTTAAAGACTGATTTTATTGAAATTGAAATTTTTAAGGTTAGTTTAACAATTTTTGAGAATACTTTTATACATTGTTTTTAAATTTTATAAAAAATCTATTTTATTTATTCTCTCTGTATTTTACTCATGTTACTGTATATGTTTGTATTTGTTATGAGGGCCTCTTTGAGTCAGCCTCGCTGTAAGAGCCACCCGTATAAAAGAAAGTTAAATAAGTAAATAAAATAAAGATTCTTGTCATGACATCTAGAATCGGTTGATTTCTGTTGTGAAAACATGATTTGATTCCTATATTACCTCATATGTTGTTTGCTGTTATTTCAGCTTCTATTTTTTCACAGATGAATTTCACAATCAACCCCTTCCAATTTCTTTGATGACTGCTTGCATGTCAGGTAAGATTTCATCCATTTCTAACTTACCTTAATCCATGGTTTAAAAGTCCTGTGTCTATGACTTTGATTTACTGCAGGGATGTAGTTATGGTGGGCTGAGGTAGGCAGGGCCACCCATCTTTGAAGTTTTCCACCCAGTCTAAAGCTGATGTCATGACCCACCATCCACCTTAATAATTAACCAACTTTACCATCCTTAAAATCCACTCTTATTATTTAGAATTTACAAATGTTGTCACCCACAACCCTTGAAATGTCTATCGCCTAACCATAGTGTTCTGTAGCTACAACCCTGTAAGTGTTTGCTTTTCCTTTTTATATTGCAATTAACCTACACAAGGCCCTGGAAACCATTAAAAAAATTTCATACATGTTTCCCTCAGACTCCAAATTGAAGACCACCTCCAATTACTTACAGACTTTGTCTCGAATCATTATAAGCTGCGTCTCAATCTAATGTAGATTTATTTCTTTGATTTTAGATTTTAATGATGTAGTGAAGAATGGAATACATTGGCCTGTTATTTATGGCATTGGTTTGTCTACCTTTTTTTCTCTCTTTTATAGTCAAAATAAATTCTATTGTCCAATGCTATACCGTATTAATTGAAAATTCCTTTTCAGTTTGCAAATCATATATCATTGTGGATACAAAATTGTATACACTGGACCTCCATTTTAAGTCCTTATCCGAGAAGACCTGGTTCAGCCAACCGAAACCTTTAGCGGGTAGCAGCTTGAACCTGTGCCGATGTTAAGGCTGTAGTTTTTATTATTTTCAATTAAATTTTGATGTAAGCTATGATACAATTAATTACATCCATAATTATAATATTTGCAAATGAATTGTACGTATATTAACGTGAATGCAATTATTTATTTTGATTGGCAGGTGTTGATTTAAAAAATGGAACAATATTTCCTGCAACTTTTTCAGACAAAGGACCAGATATGACCCTTAGGAGTACCAAAACATTTGTTGGTGATAAGGATGTAAGAAAAATTATATGTAATATTTTATAGTAATGAGGTTGATTTATAACATGCCTATTAATAGATTCTTGTCATTTGATTGGTGGATTTCACATCACATGACATTGGTTATTTACGCCATTTCGTCACAAACTATGAGTTCCATGCTTGCATTTTTGTATCATTTTTTTTTATCTGTTTCACCTCTCAACCTAATCTTTTCATTTGTTAAAAGAAGCTGGACTGTTCCATTCAGAAAAAAAAGATTTTTTTAATAAAATATCAAATGACAAGGATCTATTTTAGGTGTGTTATAAAACAAATAATGAATGTTTTTTATTCGCGCAATATAAAGAATATTTTCATAAGTTGAAAGATTGTCTGCTCCATTCAACTTGGCTCTGCCTCATTGAATGAACAGTCAGTTTTTACACACATGAAAGTGTTCTTCCCATTGAATTCATAAACATTTATTATTTGTATAATTAATCAATGGATGGGGACTTGTAAAATCAACTGGCTAAGCTTTGAAATTATCAACCACACTGCCCAATACAAATTTCTTATTGGGATTCTAAACCCATTTAAAATAATGAATTCAAAAATCTGAGTTACATATTTCAGGATCATAATAAAGTTAATTTACTTTATGTGCCTTTTATGTTATGTCATGATTTGATTTTGAATTAAAATAATCATTTTTAATTTTTATTGTAGATGATGAATATTTATGATTACAAATCAAGAGAATTAAGGATTAAAAGCTTTCATTATAACCCATGGCCAAGGGCTTTCCTTTGGCTTCAACAATCAGATACAGTCATCAAACAGGTATGAAAAGTAAAACAAGACTTTTTTCATAACTTGTTAATAGCAAATCCCCCGCCTGCCAATAATGATGATTTTGAATAAAAGTAACATTTCAGTTTTGGCCAATGAAGCACAAAAAAAAGAATGGAGATTGAAAAAAAAGTGTTTTTGGAAAATATGCTGCATTGAAATCTTCAAAAAATAAGATATATATATTTCTTGCTAATTACAGTATATAAATTTAAAGCATTTGACATCCAATTACTATACTCTTTACATTCACCACTAAAATTTTATTTTTATTTTCTCTGTCTGGAATTTTTTGTCAAAATTGTTTGCTAAATAAGAAAACAAAATTTTCTTTTTAATATTTCCCCCCCCCAACCCCAATGGTCTTTAAAAACATTAGTTCACTGAAAAAGGTATAAAAAAAAGTCTTGTCTAAATGGATATAAATCAAATCTCTAAAGTAGAATGCTGAATGGATTTTTCCTTCCAGGGTGTGTCAGTAATTTATAATTTTACTTTTAAACAAAGAAGTTGTAAGAAAAACGACCAAAAAAAAAGGTCCTAATGTCTGCATTTCAAGTTCGGACAAATCGAGTTGGTAAACAGCACAGGTGGGCAAAGTGCAGCCCACAAGCCGCATGTGGCCCGACAGTGATTGTTTTGCAGCCTACAATTAAAACCCTATTAATAATTAATTTTTTTTTTAATATAATGATTATAAAAATAGTTAAGAAAATAAAATTAAAATAATTTAAAGTGAAGAAATTGTCAATATTTAGTTAAATTTCTTTGATGGTTTTAATAGAACCTCTCTACTTCACCTGATGTTGAGCCACCCGATTTTGTGAGCCATGTGCGTGAAACCCTGAAATATGTGATTTTACACCCTCAACCTGGGCCTGACGTATTCCCAGGGGGTCAACCAAGACGCTATAGAAAAGATGGACATGGAATGTGGGTGAGGATAGAATAATAACCGTTAGCGGTATCCGGATACCGCTAACGGTTAGCAAGTGCTATCAGTTAACAATTGAGCATGTTTCTATCATCAACCAATCACACGTACGCGTTTACAATTTCCAGTTTCTTATTGGCTAGTGATTCGATCATCGTATTCTTGGTATCCGGATCGGGATTTTCTCGTATGGACGCACGGCAGCTAACGATTAGCAGAATTCGGATCCTGCTAACCGTTAGCTGCCGTGTGAGAACATAGCCTGAAGTACAAAGAAGCCAATATATTTCTACTCATAACTTTGGCAATAATAAGTTGATTCCTGTAAATAACCAATCATTTAAAAGTTTATAATGTGGAGGATAGGATAGGATAGGATTTTATTTTTTTTTTTTTTTTGTCACTGATGCTGATTTTTGGATGAATGGCACCATCTACAGGAGTTTACCTTTCCAATAAGGGAAGCATTATACTGTCATGAAGTACGGCCTTTTAGGGGCATATGCGCAATTTTGCCTTCCTAAGGATCTTATTCACTCTATCACATTTTATGTGATAAGTATGTGATCTGCCCTTATATTATGAGTATGATATGATGGCATCATGCCCAAAATGGATGTGATATGACATCATCATGCCCATATATGGATGTAATAGGATATCATCATGTCCATAATGGGTGTGATAGGACATCATGCCCAAATATGGATGTAATAGGATATCATCATGTCCATAATGGGTGTGATAGGACATCATCATGTCCATATATGGATGTGATAAGACATCATCATGTCCATATATGGATGTGATAAGACATCATCATGTCCATATATGGGTGTGATATGACATCATGCCCAAATATGGATGTAATAGGACATCATCATGCCCAAATATGGATGTAATAGGATATCATCATGTCCATAATGGGTGTGATAGGACATCATCATGCCCAAATATGGATGTAATAGGACATCATCATGTCCATATATGGGTGTGATATGACATCATCATGCCCAAATATGGATGTAATATAACATCATCATGTCCATATATGGGTGTGATATGATATCATGTCCATATATGGATGTAATAGGACATCATCATGCCCAAATATGGATGTAATAGGATATCATCATGTCCATAATGGGTTTGATAGGACATCACGCCCAAATATGGATGTAATAAGACATCATCATATCAATATATGGGTGTGATATGACATCATCATGCCCAAATATGGATGTAATATAACATCATCATGTCCATATATGGGTGTGATATGATATCATGTCCATATATGGATGTGATAGGACATCATCATGTCCATATATGGGCAATTTACACAAATTTGTGTGGATAGTGCTTAATGCTTTTGCACTTCAACAAAGAAACAAAAAAAAATGTCACAAATTCCTCTGGCAATAATAATTTCTGTAATACTTGTTATGTGAATAAAGTTTTTAGATATTTTCATGCATTATGCATTGTAGAGTTTATACCATGCCAGGGGGTACATTGTGCTGGCGAAGTCGTCTTAAGAGATTCCAATTTTGTGTTCAGTTTTATAAACAGATTGGAGAAGAGTAAAAACTAAATACATACAATAGTGCACTTCCACCATCCACTCTCTGTTGTAGGTGAAATATTTTATTTACTGCTAACTAGCGTAATATAGAAATTATTATGTGTTATATGATTTTCTGAAATAGAAGTTGAAATTGAAATTTTGCCAGAAGGGGTATGGCACCCAGTGGTGGCGCATTAAATTTGCTGACAAGGGGTCCAACATGTTCGACGGAGGGGTCCGAACCAAGGGGCCGACTAGAGTCTTGGTCGACGGCCCAGAATATGAAATATTTCCAGGGAGAGTTTTTATGGCTTAGTATTGTCAAAAATGTGCTTTTAGACCAGAATATTAGGGATTGACAATCAAAATAACATTATTTGGACAGTAAAATCATTATTTTTAAAGTTTTTAATCCAATCACCTAGTCGTGCATTGGATGACAGGGGGTCGAGGCCTTTCCCTTACCACCCCGTTGCCACCACACTAATAGCACCCCAAACTTTAACTGAGGTATATTATATCCAAATATATCTTGATTCAAATGATAAAATTTTTTTTATTGATAAAATATTGCTATGTTATCAATTATATTATAATTGGTAAACAAAATAAAAATAAAATAAAACAAGTATATGAAAAATTGAGGAGCATTTTTCATATACTTCCTGGCAATGTTATGTCAACTGATTAAAATCAGTCAATAGTTGCAATATATTTTCTATGAAAGAAAATGGCTAGGAAGCCAAGTAATAAGTAATTAATGTAATCAATTGTAATTAATCTTGTAATTTATCAAAATTTTGTGTTAATGTAGTTAAATTGTCTTTTAATTATTTATTTAATTGATTTTTTAAATTTTTTTTTGTGTGTATCAAATATGGATTATGAATTGATTTTATTTATTTATTGATTTTTAGAGTATGGCATGTTTTTTTTATCTTAATTATTCTTGCCTTAGTTAATTTTTATATCAAAACCTACTACATTTTCAAAATGCACTAGATAGTGTATTCATAGAGTATCTAAATGTATTATACAGTATTATTATAGTATAATTGAGGATCACACAAACATTTATTGTTGTTGTTATCATCATTATTATTGTTTTTCTTCATTAAACTGTTATTGAATAAATACCAGTAATGGCCCAATATTGCACATTCATTGTGTAATCTTTTATAATCATTATTATTATTATTATTGTGTCAGTAATGTCTTAACTATTAATGTCTTCTTCATTAAGTGTTTCTCATACAAAACATACAAATAATTTTTAGGTGAGATTTTTGTACAAAAAACAGGCAATAATAATCTCATTAAATATGTTGTTATTTCAGAAATATGTACAAAGATAACTTATTGGCCAAGTTGTGTGTTTCTTAATTGCATTAAAAGTCAGCAGTCGCAGAATTGGGGCCAATATTTTACAGAGATGCAGTGTTTATAACCATAAAGCATTATGACGATTATAAACAGTATTTTCCTCAATATTTTAAAATCATTTATTCATGAACCACTTGGAACATTATATATAAGATACAGTACTATTGTTTTTATTTGTTGCTATTATTGTTTTTTTTAAATAATTTTTATTACTACAGTATTACCATCTTTGTCATTATTATTATTATTGCTTTCATTATTATTATTGTTATTATTATTATTATTATTATTATTAATATTATCATCATCACCACCGCCACCACTGATAGAAAGTCATGTGCACATACATCCCCACCTTTCTCATATAGAACCTGTGCCTCACCTGAAAACAGTGCCCATGTCTACACTGGCTAAATCTGCTTAAAAATTTGTCACATTTTAGTTATGACCTCTTTATTGCAGTATATACATTACTGTATCCATTCAAATAAACGCCCGCTTATAATAAACCCCCTAGAGAGCCTCATTTGGAATATATGCCTCTCTATAATAAATTTCCTCCTTAGGTTTACACAGTTTTTCTGTATTGTGAGTTTTGGTTATTTTATTTCATTTTACTGTATGTATTGTGATTTGTATAAAAAGCAAAATAAAGAATGAATGAATGATCATGCGTAACTGTTGACGAAATTATGAATACCGTACTCGCGCGAATAAGCGCCCGGCAGCTTAAAATATTTTTTTGCACTTTTTGAGGGGCGCTTATTCGAACGGGGCGCTTATCAAAGCAGAGTGGAAATTCAGGGGGCGCTTATGGAAATAGATGAAAATCGAGGGGTTTTTATGAGAACTTATTAAATTCAAGAGGCACATTTTGAATGAAAAACGATTATAAAATGACATCAGGAAACCGCAAATTACAAATGGTGGTGCGGCGGAAAAGATAATCGTTCAGAGAGCATGGCTCGTCATGACAAGAATGTTGTGAGTACAGTATTACATAACAGCAGAATAGCAGATGAAAGTAGTGGTGGTGGTTAGCTTGTTAAAGGTGCATATTGTCGGAAAAGCAGTAGGACTAGGCTATAGAAAAATGTAAGAAGATGAGAGTTGGAAATATACTGTCTGTCCGAGGAGCTCGCATCTGTCCAAATATCCTCATTTTGATATTAACTAAAGTAGAATGTGATTCCACTCCACACCTCAAATCATGCCACCATCCACAGTCCAGGATTGATTGAATTATTATTGAGGGGGCGTTTATTCAAATTAGAAGGGGCGCTTATTCAAACTTAAGGAAATTTTCAAGGGGCGCTTATTCGCGCGAGTACTGTACAGTACTGTATAATTTTTAATATCCGGGAAATAAAGAGTTGGGAACTATAGAGGGCGTGCTCTGTATCTGATCGATCTCAAACCATGCGTGAAACCGAGTGGTGGAAAGTAGTTTTGCAAACTTTATCGAAAACGCAACAACCCGGAAATCAACGTCAAACGGTCGGGAGCATAGAGGTCGGGAGACAATCTTCGTTCGTCAGGCTGGAAAGCAGGACTAATTTACTCAGGTGCGGGGACAGGTGGTGTTAGGCCTAGTAGAGAAAACGTAAGTGTTTTGTATTAGTTTTAGAGACATATTCTTTTTTTTTTGTATACACATTTGTTAACTGAATAATTTTTATTTACTGTAAAAGATAGACAAATTTTAAACCCCATAACTTGGAGCGTCATTGTGCTTGCGATGATGGGTGTGGTCCCTGCGTCCGCCACGTCCTTGCTGTACTTAGCAGGCTCTTCCATTATACAGTCAAGATCACAGTAGCTATGGCCCTAGGCCTAGTACTAGCTAGAGTACAGTACTAGGCCTAGTGGTACTAATAGTAGTAGTAGTCGTAGTAGTAGTAGTAGACACTTTACTACTACTAGGCCTATATACAGTAGCTGGGTCATTCTTCGCTAATGTGCCATTTTAGAGGTTTAGAAATCATAAAAAAAAAAGTTTAAAATTTGTAATTCTTTTATTACACATGTCATCATTATGCCATATAACAACTATAATAAACATTCGGCACGATAATTAGGGCATTTTAAACGTTTATTTAAGCATTCAATTTTCAGTGCTGTAACATAGCAAAT